CTCCTAATTTCGGCCGGGTGGTGGAGTTGGTCCTTGACCAGCAACGTACTACCTCAGCTGACCACGCTGAATAAGCTCTTCAATCTACCTCTTTAACTGGAAGCAGTTGTTAGTGTCATGGTCCTGGTCATGGTGGAAGCGACAGTACCTATTGAAATTTTTGTGGTTTGGGTCGAACTTCATTTTTCTAGGCCAGTGGAGTGTGGGGTCATCTTGTATCCAGAATAAAATGTGGTCCACTGAAGCATTGAGTGGCGTGAAAGGCTGTCATTCTCTTGGGGGTATGGGACCAAGACGGTCCTTTATAGAGACTCTCTCGGTTATCTTTCTCTTGTTCTCTGCCTCCCGCTTGTCTTCGCAAGTATCCTTATTTTCTTTTTCTTCTCAAGAGGACTCACCTCGAAGGGCCTTGGTGACGTCCTCGATATTCATGTACTTCTATGCCTTTGATAGTAGCTCAAGCATATTAGAGGGCGACTTCCTGAGGACGGAGAACATGAAGTTAGAGGAGCGCAGGCTAGCAATAAAGGCGGTCAGGGCTACCATATCATCTGGCTCCTCGATCTAGAGAGTCTCCTCGTTGAAATGAGTGAGGTAGCTCCTAAGGATTTTATCACAGTCTTGCTTGATGGTGAGCATGTGGGTAATAATAGGCTTCTGGTGTCGGCATCCCCCAATGAAGTGGGAGACGAAAGATTTACTCAGTTCCATGAAGGAGTGGATAGAGGAGGGTTTGATCTTCATGAATTATTGTTGAACAGACCCTTTCAAGGTGGTGGGGAAGACTCTACACATTATCTCATTAGGCACATTGTGGAGTTGCGTCTAAGACTTATAGGTGTTAAGATGATCCAGAGGGTCCATGATACCGTCAAAGATCTCGGTGGCAGGCATCTTGAACTTCAAGGGTAGGGGTAATTGATAATGTTTGCAACAAATGGGATATCAATGCGCCTTACCAAGTAATCTACCGTCTCGGACGTTTGTGCCTTGATGGCGTTGAGGGCATCACCGAGTTAGTTTTTCACTTCTCTTATCTTCTCGTCCCATTTGTTGAGGACATCCTCTGTCGGGTCATTGTAATGACATTCATGATCGACATACTGACTTTTTTCGTCGTCCTCTTGTGTAGGTACATGAGGAGGGACTCTTGGGCGAGGGACGCCCGGGGCTGCCTGAGGGCATTCTGGCGTGAGGCTCCATGGTGGGGGACAACTTGGTGCCCAAAGTGGAGAGGTTGTTGTGCTTCTCCCATTAGAGGGAGTGGTGCTCCTCCTATGAGCTGAGGGGCGACGTCTCCCAAAGCGAGCATCAACTACATGATTTGTTAGTTCTGATTTACCAGCAGTTGCATGGTTTGTAAAAGCTGTTGTCCGACCATAGGAGTTACCGTAGTGGATAGTTCCGAGGGTGCGAGGGGAGGCATAGCCTCTTCTCGAGGGGCCGGGTTGTTGTCTCCCGGTTGTTGACTCATTGACCTGGTCGTAATTGCCATAGAGTAATAAGGTAGTAGACAACTTAGTCGTTCTCATAGACGACACCAAACTGATGATGCACAAAATAGTTTTCGTACAAGATCAATAGTCGAATGTCTGATTAAATGTTATTAATAGACAATTAATAAAGCAATTAATGGCAGTAACATAAAATATTGAGTCAACACACAGATATATAGTGGTTCGGTCTAGGTGATCTACTCTACTTTGAAAAATGACAACAGTGGTTGGGAGTCTTTATCGATGAAGTAAGGTAAATGAGAAAGAAAACAATAGTTAGCTCCTGGAGGGATATAATATCTAGGAGAGAGAAAGTGTGTAGAGTGATGTAGCGGTGTAGAGTGGTGTGGTGAAATTCCTCTCTCAATAGAAAGATCTTACAATTTATAGGCATGGTGAGGCGGTGACGTGAGGGTAAAGACACTAACTTTTCGGGAAGGATAGCTACAAAAGGTAAGTACAATTAAGATAATCTTGATCTCCGAAGGTGGGCATCCCAATGATTTTTTTCCCACGTGCTTTATCTTCTTGGGCTCCTTGGATCTTGGATTGGATTGGATCAATAAGTTGGGTTAAACTTACAGGCTGAACCTGAGGGATCCTTTTAGCTGCTCTAAGTCCATTCAATTTATTGGGTCTGACCCAGTTAAAACTAGACTCATCAATTTTTATTTTTCATCTATCCTAGCAAACACAAAAGAAAAAAATGTATCATTTCTATTTTTCTTCTTTAGAGCATAAAAAATGTGTCCCTCTTATTTTTTATTCTTCTTACCATTAGTTTAAGTTGCCTAAAAGCCCATTTTCTCTTAACCATATCGCCTGCTTCTGTTACATTATGGAGCATATCTTTGAAAGATTGTGTGATGATTCTGTACAGGTTCAGTGTTTATTATGTATCTTTGTTGCTTTTGGACAAAAAATATTAATTGCTATGCTCTTGCTGGGCCGAGCTAGTGGTTACCCTTAAATGTCGTAAAGTTCCACTTGTAACTTGTATATTTACAGTGCAAACTGTAGTGTTCACAGTATACTCGTTATTGGTTACCAAATGGTCAAAATCCAGCAGCCATAGGTTTTACCAGATGCCGGTAAAGGCTATGCTGTGCATGCACAACAGTGCAAACGTTTCCGAATAGCAGACCCAGAATTGTCCGTACTCACTGTAATTCTTCAAGGCAGCTATAAACTTGAGAAGAAATTGGGGAACAAAATGGGATACAAAGATTGAATTATACCTTGGAGAGGCCAGATTCACATTCACTGTCTCTACGCCTGGTCCCGAGGAGTGGGTTCATTTCTGTCAAGAGCCCTGGAATCCCTTTTTAAAATTTTTTTTGCTGTTTATTTGTTTTTTTAATCAAGTGTTATTACAACAAGGAGGAAGAGGAGGAGGAAGAGGTTCGAGTTTGCGACCTCAAGGTCTAACATTCTTTTCATGATTATTATACTAATCGGTAACCTCTTTTTCCTAGTAGTTGAGACCACCATGTATGTCATCAACTCACGAGATGGTCTCAGTTGTCTTGGCAAGTGATATAATAATATTAAAATAATTTCTACAATTATAATAATTTTATTGGATAGTTGTAATATCATTGAGTTAATATTTTAGGTTGATTTTTTTGTGTACGTACCCTCAAAACCTATATATGCTCCACAGTCGACGGCGAACCGCTACCAAACCAATTTCCTTGAACTTGAAACCATTAAGAGGACAACACTTCAAAGCATGGAGATTACATTCTTTCGGGTTGAGTCGAAAAATAATATGTTTCCGGAGGGCCATTGAGAAACTGACATGCATGTAAGAATGGTCCCATGCCAAGATTTTATCTTCCTATTACTACCTGGTTTATCCTCTATTTCACTCTCTCTCTCTCTCACACGAACCACACAATCCAATTACTTGTCATGGAACCGTCGATCAATTGCATACCGGTCACCGATTATCTTATTTCCTTTCGTCCGGGTATCAATTTCTTTCCATGTTTTCTAATTTCAGTTAAATACTTTAACACCACTAGAAATGATTTTAGATCAAGGGTGTAAACTCTGTGTCCATTAAATAAATTTTTGGGGGGCATTAGTGAGTTTTGTGTGGTAAATCTTTAGGGTGTATGGCCTCGTGTAGAGAGAGAGAGTCACGTGAGAGACGGATGAAAAGCGGGAGAAGAGAATAGTGGGGAGAGGAAAAAATTAGGACAGGCTTGGTTTGCATTTCAAAAAATAATATTTAAAAATTATTTTTAAGAAGAATTTTAAGAAAGTACTTTTAAAAATTTTAAAATTACAAAATCTGTTTGATTATATATTTTTGAAAATAATTTTAAAAAATAAAAATTATAAAATTTGTTTAGCCAATAATCTACAATATTCACTCACTTCAATTCTCTGTCTCTCTCTCTCTCTTTTTCACTGTAGAACTCACAAAGTACCGAACACAACTGTGCAACTCACAAACCACCGAACACCACTGAAACCATAAAGCAATTATCATCAAATCCACAATCACCCAAAAGCCACAACCATCACCAAAACCCACAAAACACCATCGAAACCCACAACGTGGAAAGATTTGAAGCTTTGCCGGAGAGATCTGATCATGATTTTGAATAACGGTAACATGTGGTGTAACAATATCGGTAACTGTGTAACGGACACGGGATATAACAGACGTTACATAACAGTAAAGGAAATCGAAATCGTGAATTTTGTTAATACATTCACAACTATGGACAAAAATTAAAATTTTCTATATATTTGGATTAAAATAAAATAAATCTAATTTTTTTTAATTTATAATATTTTTTTATTATATTAATCATTTTGGTATGCTAAATTACTTAATTAATCCAAATTTAAGACAAATGAAAAAAAAATAATCCAAGCAATTAATATCTATTTATTTGAAAATTGTATTTAGGAAATAATCAAAATAACTGGTAGGTTTAGATCATTGGAATAAAATAAAAATATTTTGTAATTGTGAATAAAAATTATTAGCCGTTAATTTGTACAAGAAGGGCCCCACTATCTACAAATTTTTGAATCCACTCCTTCAAATTATTAAATAATATGACACTTGTCGTTTATTCATTCACTAAATTTATTGATAATGCATCAACAACCATTCATTGGATAGGTTGCAGAAGAAAATGATACACTTGATTTTTGCATTTCCCACAAGCCATGATAGCCTGCCCTTTCTCAACCCAGTCGGCTTCTTTATACTCCGGTCATCTCTTCCAGCTAGAAAACTCCATGGCCGAACAGTGGAAGCTAAAAAATAGGCCGTTACAGCAGCATAACGGACTGTGACGCTCCCGTAACGTCCGTTACATCCCGTTACGGTGCAGTAACGGCCGTTAGAGGTGTGAAAATTTTTCTACCTTTTATATCGGAGTGTAACGGGATCGAAATTTGACGTTACGGTGCCTAACGGCCGATTTTCAAAACCATGGATCTGATGCTTGTTCTACTGAAAAAAATGGTGGATCTGATATGATAACAAAGCCTATAGTTGGTTTGCCACCAAGTTTAGGCTTACAGATGCTTAAGCAACAGAGCCTCTGTGCATCAGGTTCTCCAATTACTCTCTCCGTTGTAAGCAGGATAAGAGTTTTCATTCGGTTTGGTGGGCAAAGTGTAGAGAGACAAAGAGGAAGGAAAAAAAACAAAAGAAAGCCTTGCTGCTGGGGAGACTCGGAGTGCAGAATTCATTTAAAGAGGTGTTTTTCTTGTTTTCATAATTTTCAAAGAAAAGTTTGAAGATAAGTGCGACTTGTTTTTTATTTTTGAATTGTAAATTTTATTTTTTTTAAAAAAATTTTGAGAATAAAAATATTAAATAAATATGTTTTAGGTTTTTTTAAAATTTTAACAATGAAAAATTGTTTTAAAATAAAAATATTAAATAAATATGTTTTAAGTGTTTTTAAAATTTTAACAACAAAAATTGTTTTGTAGACCATAACCAAACATGCCCCAGCTTTGTATCCACTGTTGTATCTGCGTGGCTACAGCTTTGTATCCACTGTTGTATCTGCGTGGCTATTCCTGAATGGCTGCCCCGTAAGGCCATTGGTTTACGGGTAAGCCGGATGAATTAAATCCCAAAAGCAAAACCAAGCACAGAAAAATCGTCTACACAACCGAAACTCCCATCTGATGTGGGCGTTTCAGACTCCCCAAGTTGTCCAACCAACTTACCTTCCAATACACTTCCACCATACACCTCGCGCCTCCTCCCAACACCCAATCTCCGTCACTAGCCGCCCATCAACCATCGCCACCAGTAACAACCACTTAATCCAATCCCTCTGCAAAAAGGGCAACCTTAAACTAGCTCTTCAAGTCCTTGCTCACGAGCCCAACCCCACCCAGCACACTTACGAACTTTTAATAATCTCTTGTGCCGACCAAAGCTCTCTGTCCGATGCCCAAACCGTTCACAACAAACTTATCGGTGATGGGTTCGAGCAAGATTCTTTTTTGGCCACTAAACTCATCAACATGTACTGTGAATTGGATTGTATGGATCATGCACGCCAGGTGTTTGATAAAATCTACAATAGAACCATATATGTTTGGAACGCACTCTTTCGGGCTTTAACCTTAAAGGGTCATGGTGAAGAGGTGTTAAATTTGTATCGGAGAATGAATCAAACTGGAATCGCATCTGATAGATTTACGTATACTTACGTGCTCAAGGCTTGTGTTGCTTCAAAGTCGTTTGTCTCGTTGCTTCAAGAGGGAAAGGAAATTCATGCCCATATTTTACGACATGGGTATGAGAGTTATGTTCATATTATGACTACTTTGGTGGATGTGTATGCAAGATTTGGATGTGTAGAGTATGCAAGTTATGTATTTAATAACATGCCCGTGAAAAATGTGGTTTCATGGAGCGCTATGATTGCATGCTATGCAAAAAATGGGAGGCCGTTTGAAGCATTGGAGGTTTTTCGTGAAATGATGCTTGAGACCCATGATTTATTGCCTAACTCGGTGACAATGGTTAGTGTGCTTCAAGCTTGTGCGGCACTTGCTGCTCTTGAGCAAGGGAAGTTGATACATGGGTATATACTTAGGAAAGGTCTTGATTCGATTTTGCCTGTTATTAGTACCCTTGTAACCATGTATGCAAGATGTGGTGATCTTGAATTGGGGAGGCGCATTTTTTGTCAAATGTATAAGAGAGATGTTGTGTCTTGGAATTCCATGATTTCGAGCTATGGAATTCATGGGTTTGGAGCAAAAGCCATTAAAGTTTTTAAAGAAATGGTGTACCATGGAGTCTCACCAAGTCCCATATCATTTGTTAGTCTTTTGGGAGCTTGTAGCCATGCAGGACTTGTTGAGGAGGGTANAAAACTTTGGGGCTCTTGGATCCATGAGATAATTTATTCAAAAATGCCGAATGATCACACAAGAAGTGATCTCCAAAGATTTGTACTAGTGTGAACGACAATCCACCTGATGAGACTGGATCTCACTCCAATATTCACCGACCATAGTGGCACACTACACCCAAGATAGATACTTTTGTCTTAGTATACAAAGATCATCACAAGCTTTCTAGAAAAAGTTGGTAACAACTACCATTGAGATAATGTGTAGCTAAATTCCTGGACCTTGCTAATTTTCTTAGAGGCTTAATCTCTACTCGTGTAGGTCCTTCCTATTTGAAATTGAGTGGTACACTCTAATTTGTCTCGAATGCATATCATTTAATTCATATTTGTTGTCTTTTCAAGTTGAACATCAAGCAATTGACCCTTGAATAGTTTCCAATCATCTTGATAATTGAATTTGCATAGAAATATCAAGCGTCGTAGAAATAGCTTCTTTTCTTTGATATTGAACCCGAGTCAATATAAATAGCTTTTCCTTTCACAATAAAATGTTAGAAACAAGTGTATGCCAAGAGAGTGAAGAAGCTCTGGACTTCTATGATCTATCTACATAAACTTAGTAATACAAACCCTTAAGTATATTGCAGAGAATATAATTCCTGACCAACCATACAATTACATAAATTTTGTTTGAATCTATGGTTAAAGAATATGGGATATACCCAAGTGTAGAGCATTATGCTTGTATGGTTGATCTTCTTGGCCGAGCCAATCGACTAGATGAAGCAGCTAAGATTATAGAAGGTATGCGGATTGAACCAGGACCTAAAGTTTGGGGTTCTCTTCTTGGATCATGTAGGATTCATTGCAATGTCGAGCTTGCGGACAGGGCAAGCAGGAGGCTTTTTGAGCTTGAACCTGTAAATGCTGGGAACTACGTACTTTTGGCCGACATCTATGCAGAAGCTAAGATGTGGGATGATGTAAAAAGAGTGAAGAAACTTTTAGAGGCCCGGGGACTGCAGAAGGTACCCGGTTGCAGTTGGATTGAAGTTAAAAGGAAAATTTACTCACTCACATCAGTTGACGAGTTAAACCCGCAGATTGAACAAATCCATGCATTATTGCTGAAACTTTCAATGGAGATGAAAGAGAAAGGTTATGTTCCTGAAACAAAAGTTGTGCTCTATGATCTTGATACAGAGGAGAAAGAACGAATTTTATTGGGCCACAGTGAAAAACTTGCAGTTGCCTTCGGATTGATTAATAGCAATAAAAGGGATGCTATCAGGATCACCAAGAACTTAAGATTATGCGAAGATTGTCACACTTTTACAAAGTTCATTTCAAAGTTTGCAGGTCGAGAAATTTTAGTTCGGGATGTGAATCGCTTCCACCATTTCAAAAATGGGGTTTGTTCTTGTGAGGATTACTGGTAACCTCGTAGCAATATTCTCATCCTCATTTTTTTGCCATAATTTTGTCCTGTGTACAGTCAACGTAGCTCTATGAGTAATCATCTTACCATCATTTATTATATTTCTTACACCTTGTGTTGACAGACAATATTGCCGCTAATACTTTGAGTTTGCCCAGAAATTTGTGTTAGATTCAACATACATATGACGAGCAAGACCACTGCTAAATTGCCATTGATTAGCCTCACAGATCTTTTAGTCTAGTCCGAAATGGACAATATTGTATAACGCAGGTCAAACAATAGCCTCAGCTCATGCAGTCGTCCAGCACCTCCCCCAGCAAGCCATTGAAGCCTATACATCATTCATTCACTCAAAACAATCAATCTCAAATATTACACAGAAGTTAAAATGGCTAAAATATAATTACTCAAACTTGAAGTGGTTTACGAAATTTGCACCAGTCTGCAGGATTTTTATTTTTGTGGTTCATGCCTTATTTGGAAAATTTTTGTGCTTCAGAGAGCCGACATCTACGGCGGCCCCCTGACACTGATTTAACAGTAGTCTTTTCTCTTTTTGGGTTTCACTCCCCTGCTAGTATCTAAGGGGATGATACTATGCTCATATATAATAATAAGATATTTTAATCCAGCTTATAGATGGTCCCTTCCGCGAATCGAACTCATGACGTGAGGCCTGCTCTTATAGTAATTGTTATGAACCCAACTGTTAATCTAAAAACCCCAAAACTTGTGAGAGGTTAGAACTTGTAACTATTTGAACGTAACATTGAATCACTGACAAAATATGAACTTAGGATCTTTGCGGACATTACATGATTTGTTTGATGGGTGTTATAAGAACATATGATTTTTATTGTATTAACTTTGTAGTTTATAATTTTAAAATTAGACATTATTCTTATTAAAAAGAACATGACACTAACTCAAAAAAAGAAAAAAAAATACATAACAAGACCTCAACACAACACAACTCGTTTGGGACAAATTCCCACAAAAAAAAAAAAGAAAAAGAAACGCTTCTTGTTGTAAGAGAACTTTGTATATAATCCCAAAGCCTTTTCTTTCTATGCATCCTTCAAGATTACATTACTTAAAACTTATTACATAATCCTAGAGCGGTTTCTTTCCATGTTCCCTAAAAAATTACATTCATTTCCCACTAATGCTCAATTAAAAGCAGCAGTTAACTACCCTTAATTGCTTAATCTATAAAAACCAGAACAAATGAACGGTCAAATTGCATACCACATTATCACATCCATCACCTATGGATACTAGTTTTATACCCCTCCTCATCTTCTTCTTCCTCCTCATGACCTCATCACCAGGAATCAGTGCCACCACGCTCTCAGACTCTGCGCCCCCGGTCACGGCTCCTCTGAAAACACAGTTTGTGTGGGAACCCATAGAGATAACCAACATGGGTCAATTCGAGTACTTCGTGTCATGCGGTCCGGATGAGTTTGTGAACAATTTGGCTCCTCAACAGAGTATAAGCTATATGTTCAAGGTTGTTGATCCAACAATCTTGAGGTGTTTCGTACAAAAACATAACAAGAGCATTCACATGAACGTTGTGGAATGGGGACCTCAAGGGGTTTTCTGTCCATTTCCTAGAAGTAGATGCAAGAATACTTGTAGGTTTAGGATAATTGATGATAAAAGATATGATGTTTACGATGAATATCAAAACAATTGGGTACCTAGTTTGTATTCACCCGAAAGTACCAGCCAACCATGTAACGAATAAAATGGACTCTAATGAGCTAGTCCTTAATTTGCTTCAAGAAATTTGTAATAGACATGAACTTTTCGTGTCCAATAACTAGTTTATTTTATTTGCAAGTTTTTTTTAAGTATTTTTTGAATATTATTACAATTTAAAAAATGCAAAATGTAATATTTGTTTAACACAATTTTTTTTAAAGCAATAAAGTTGAGTGACAATGGTGTTGAAAACATGGCTGTTCAATTTCCTCTCTTCTCCATAGTTGATGGGTCGACAATTTGACAAAATTGAGTACCTTTAAAATTTATATTTCATATGGTACGTAATTTATGTTCTAACTCAATTTCACCAACTACTTTCCAATTTGGTCTAAATTTAACTTGTAATTCATCAAAATATTATCAATTTGAAATCGGAAATTATTGATAGCTTTGAATGGAAAGAAGAGAAATTTTTTAGTAGGTTTAACATACTGCAGTGTCGTATAATGTGTACATCTAATGAGAAGAAGTTGTCATAAAAACAGCTTGTGAGACACACAATTTCAATGTTAAGAGTAATATTATTTAGGCCTAAATATTTGACTTAATTAATTGACCTAATAATATTATTTTATTAAAACTATTGAATTAACACTAAATTTTAATATATTTAACCGCATCCCCAATAGTATTTATATTCTTTATTTTATGTAAATCGCTCTTCTAATGTAGTGATTGTACATTTTTTTTTCTCTCTTATGACAATTATTTTTTTGCATAGAAAATTACTTAAAAAAAAATGTTATCGAACAACTTTTTGTTACTCATTTTGTAGGTTTATAGTGTTGCGTGGGTCTCCAGGGTTCTACTCATATGCAATATTTGAGCGCTTAGAGGGATGGCCTGACATAAATATGTACGAAGGGAGGATTGTATTCAAGCTCAAAGAAAACATGTATGACACACAAATTATTATATTAAGAATAATAATTCATTACGATATCATCATCAGCATTATTATTTTTTATTTTGTTTACTTATTCGCGTAAAACATATTTAATTACAGGCCTATTATCATATGCTTGATTACCCACAAACATTTTTCCTTTTTTTGTTTGTTTCCTACTAGCAACAAGAACAGAAAATTTTTCAATTTGAATTTTTGATAAATTATACTTTAACCGCTTTAACTATCTATGTGTGTTTGTCTCATGTTGCTCTCTTAATTGTTATATTTATCACATTACACTTCTTACTATAGTATGTTTAATGATAATGTGTTGTATAATTAGGTTTCAGTTCATGGCTATATCGGATGAAAGGCAAAGGATAATGCCAATGTACAAAGACCGTCAAACAGGTCAGGTCCTCGACTACAAAGAAGCTGTTTTACTAACAAATCCAGAAAATCCATTCCTCAAAGGAGAGGTAAGAGAGCCTTTTATTTCACTCGCCTACTTATGTTGTGGAATCGTAACAACTTGGCTTGTTTGTTGATCCTCATTCTCTCAATTTCAAATTTTGCTAAGGTCCGTTAAAATAAATGACATAATAGAACATGAATTTTTGTTGTAAAATTTCAAATATTTGATGCTCTATTTTTTAATTGGAGTATTTTTTATTTAAGTATAATATTTTAAATTTGAGGGGTATAAATGTTACATACATATAAATTTTAGAAGGTCTAAGTTTACTTTATTAAAAAATATACTGACGACAGGATCTTAGTGTTGTAAGTGTTATGTGTGTATGAACTTTAGGGAGTTTATGTGTAATATTATAAATGTCAATGGGTACAAGTGATTAAGTGACAAATCTTAGGATGTACGATTGTAATTCCAAAAAAAAAAAAAAAAAGTGGCACGCAAGTTTAATGGTATTCAAATTCTGACTAAGGTTGAAATCTTGCTGTACAATATACTATACGTGCTCTCTCAACTTATGAGGGCCATTATGAAACATGAGAAAAAGGAAAAGAAGAAGAAGGTGGTGTCTATTTCTCATCCTATTACCCTACCTTTCTCTCATGCCTAATGAGCCAGAATGGTAATCCTTTTATCAGTCATATTGTAAAGACCTTTGTATAATGGCCCCAAGACAAAAAGGGTCGAGGCAATTTTTTTTTATTAGCCAAGCAATTGGCTAGCCCCGTATATTCTATGGTTACTTTAAAACCAGGAACACACATAATAAAGCGACAAAGCCAGTGAAAGAGGAAAGTAATATGATATTCCAAAGAAGGGCAAATGGATTTAGAAGGAAAGAAGCGGTCTATAAGATCATAATTATCCCAAATTAGTGGGGATATTAAGAAAAGAACGGTTGGCATTAGATTTCAACAAACATTGTTCTCTATGCCCATCGATGGCAACCTAATGAGATGTATTTCATCGAGAATCGAAGGGGGGACATCCTGCCAATTGGAAGAATTAAAGCATTGCATGACTGTAACCAAATGGAAAGTTTAACCATTTCATAAATCCCCAATCGTCTCCAATGAGAAGAGAGATGAGATTCTAGTTGGTCGACCCAATCAATCCACCTCTGGTCATGATTAATCCATGATTGATTGGTTCCTTGGTCACATGATTTCCATTGAAGCTGTTTAAATAATATATCTAGGAGAGTGAAGGTTGTGACTGTTTGTGTACATAGGATCATTCGTTCGGGCTACTAATTAACTCAAATACACGAGGGAACATTGTTTGGATTATATTCTATAATTTTATGAATGAACGCAAATGACACCTATCATAGAGTGAATCAGCAAAAAAGAATTTGTCACATGACAAACATTTAATTGATGCGAGAAAGATGTTGCTGGACTCCCTCTATTTTATTCGCACCCCACCGTCAATAGATGTTGCTGGCAAACAAAAAGGTAGATGATGTCACGCACAATTCTTCAAAAAATATCCATTTTGCCCTTCCTTCAAGATCCAATAACCTGCTTGCATAACTCACAACTCTCTCTCCTAGATAGCTTTCGGTCTATCTTACCAAAAGTTTTCTTCCACCCAAAGCCTGAACTCACTTCATAGCACCTTCCAACAACCCCCTTGCGATAGATCGTCTCCTAAACCCATCCCACTTCCAAGACTCCATTTCAATTACATTCATTAGCATCTTCTTCCTCTCTAACATATAAACTTTTTACATGTCAAATATTGTCACCAACCATTGTTACCTACATTAATTCTCTCACACATATATACACAGCCACACAGTACACACACTCTACCATCAAACAATGACCAATACCCCTCACTAGTTCACCACCTCATGCCTACACAAAAAATATGAAACCCCTAATTGTACCCAATTACCATCATCACTGTGAAATCAATTCAATTGATACAAACTAATTAAGCAAAAT